AATCAATGATCAATTGCATCATTTTTATGATGCAAATTTTAGGTGTAAAAATATTACAGAATCATTTAAATTTAATTTAAAATCGAATACATCATATATTCGAACTATTAATTTGAAATATAATAATAATAACGATATGAGAGAGAAGGATGGCGAGAAAAGAAGAGAGAAGTGGACAAATTAAATAGGAAAAAGGGGAAAAAAAACAGCTGGACTATTTCATGGTAAAGTATCACTTGAAAATTTCCAAATAAAAAAGAATATCAAGAAGTGGACCATAATGAAATGATGCAGAGCCAATTATTAAATAGAATACATTCAGGCCAAACAATCAATGATCACTGATGATTTCATTGGTCAACAGTCCACCAAAGACAAGATGGACAGAACGTCATTGAAATTTGTTTAATATGAAATTAACCAATTTTTATTCACTTCTAAACTTCTAGCAAGTCACATGTCTGATTTTGAATTTGAACTTATTCTAGCAAAATCTGTAGTGTTAAAAGATATGACACTGCAATGATTTTGTTAAATTTCTTTTAAATTTCAAATAATTTTTGAAAAAAAATAAAATTACTAATATAAGAGTGACATTAACAAATTTGTTCAATAATTTCCATTTCTCCTCACTCTGTCAACTGTCAGCAATAAAAAGGGCAATTCGGTTTATTTTTTGCTTTTACTCCCAAATATCCATTCAAAAAGTATACAAAAAAGGAGAGAAAGACACTGAGGATGTCACATTTCATTAATTTTTAATATTCCAAAAAAAAAAAATCGCATTTATATATTTGAAATGACATCAAAGATCAAGGAGGATGATTGCAATGATGATGACAATTGAACTAATGATGGTGACACGGCAGCTCCCCTTAAATTTGGTCCTAAATTAGCACAGTAAATGTAAAACAGAAAAGATATAAAACAAAAAAAAAGGACAACTTTGTTTTTTTTTCCTTTGAGGAGTGCTAAAATTCAAAATCTTTTATGCCATCTGAAATTGATGCTTTATATGAAAAGATGACATGGAAATTTATGCAAAATACTGAAAAAAATTGCTTGAAATATTCAAAGAAATAAATGGTTCATTTGATGAATTTTGCAAACAAACGATAGATTATTTTCAAAATTTCGATTATTCCAGGCACTGATTAAAAATTGTTAACTTTTTAGAGTGAAATTTTTCGTATTTTCAACATGACATTTTTAGTTTCATTAAAAATTGGAAGATTTGTTTTGAAGAAATTAATTAAGGTTGAAATTAAGAAAAGAAATTGCCCAAAGCAATGAACGGATTTTAAATAAATTTATGAAGTTTCATCCTAAGAGATAGTGTGATTTTGAATTGTTCAGCAACTGATAGCGCAAAAACAGCTGATAAGCAATGGGAACAGTTGGATTTCTACTTTGATTTTAAACTTTGAAGAAAAAATATAAATAGAAAGTTTATGAATCTGATTGCGAATAAATAAAGGAAGATGCTAGTGTAAAGCCTAGAATAGCAGCTATTCCTGATGTAATTTGAAAATAAAGAAGTTACTCCGAATGTAGCCTGATAAGGAAGTAGTTATTCCTGATATAGTTTGAAGATGAAAAGTTATTCCTAATGAAAAGAAAGCAGTTTATTCCTAATGTAGCTTAAGGATATATTAGTCATTTAATGAGGAAGATAAAATAGTCTGGAGGAAAATAAAAATGTAATAAATAGAAAGTACAACAAATGATAAACTATGAAATGATGATGGTAACCGATCAAATCATGATATCAACATTTTAGATGAGAAGGACCTCTTCTTCATCCATCGTTTGCCATTTTCACAGCTAACTTCTCCTGTTCATACATCACCACAACCATCACCGCCACCATCACTACCATATCATCATCAGTTTATCGCCATCTCCAATTTTCCAACCAACCCTTTCTCTCATCTTGGCTCATATTTCACATCATGTTTTCTTTTTTTTTTTACACTTTATAAAAGTACGAAATTAAGTTAGTTTATATTTTCAGTTCAAATTATTTGATGATTTAGATTAAAGTTGAAATTTTCCTGAAATTATTAAACTGTCTAGTGATGAAATTAATTAATTTTATTCTTCAATTCTAATTTCCAAATTTGACAGAGCCTTCAATGAGGCCATCTGAAGAATTTGTTTACCTTTTCCAAATGAAAGATTATCATCAGATTATATGTCTACTAAGCATTAAAGATCAGCTTGATAAGCAGCCGTTAAGCGGTAATGATGAAAGCTCTTAAATTCTTCCAATTAGCCGAATTTATCAATGATAAATTGCTATTGCTTTGATTTTCGCTTCTTTCTGTCTGTTCGCTAATCACAATAAACAAAAACTGGACTAATTATAAGAAAAAAACAAAAAAAGAAAAAACGTGATATGTTTGAAATTGGATTGATGCTATAAAAATCGTAGACATATGTCACGGTTCAAATGTATTTTAGCTTAAGGTGAAGAAATAAATGTTGTTACAGGTTGCCGATTACCTCCAATTCATTTCATGTGATGAAAGGAAAGCAGTAATTATAACATATGAAAAGAGCAAATTTAAAGCAGATGGTAGGGTGACATTTGAGAGAAATAGCAAACAGCAATTTTGGCGACCGAATGTCTTCAGGTCATCCTCGGGGATTTCTGGCTAAAATCTCTCCTAACAAATGCAATATAAAAAGAACAAATATATTGGATTTGATGAAGTTATTAGTTATAATCATCATCTTTTTAAGAGGAGATAGTATAGAGTATAATTTAAAAAAAAATTTTATTTCATATACCAGTTTTATTCTGTTTTTGTTAAAAAATATGTCTTGATAGTAGACAGAAATGATTTCGAGAAGTATTTTGAAAGTGATTCCATGTTTGAACGTCGAGATTAGATGTACGTTAATATTAAATTCGAGAATAACAAAACTTGATGAATAGTGAAAGTAACAAAGGGAAGAGATAGATTTGAGAAATATACGACGGAGAATTATGTGAAATGCAAGCATCATATGACAGACAATAACAGTTGATTAGAAAATCGATAAGATTGAAATTTGCAATGTTTAACAAAAATTTTCCCATAGAAATGGCTTAGCCAAACGTAACAAAAAAAAAAAAAGAAAAAGGGTTTTGAATATAATTCGATTATAGCAGTTGAAATTTTGTATAATATATCTTTTGTATATTTAAGTACTCAGTGATGGAGCTGCAGAAACGTATTTGTTTCAGTCTTAGAAATGATAAGCTTTGCATGATGAAACTACCCATGCTTAAAACTTTTTCGATTAAATCGAAATGAATAACTTGAATTCGGAATGATTTTACTTGATTTGCTTGAATGAAATGGAAATGATTTTCAAAAATGAAGAAAGGAATTGTATGTCTTCATATTTTGATTATTTAAGTAAACATAGCGACAACTTCATAAACATAGGAAGTTAAGATTTGAATTATCAGGGATAAATGGTTGAGATGCATAGAATTACCTCTTATCTTGATCAATGAAAGTTTCATCGATCGAACATTTTATTCCTTCATCAATTTAATTTTGAATTCATAATTTTCGGATTAAAGAAAGTCTCATACGTTCACTTTTAAAATCAATTTAATTCAAATTCAGGAAACCTTTTTTTAGTTTTTTCATTTTTTTCTACTTCAAAATAATTAAAATCTTTTTTCAAATTTTAATTCCATTGAACGGTAATTTCGATACTTCTAGAATGTTTACTGTTAAAGATAATGTCGATATCTGCTTGCATAGTTTTCATCCATTTATATCAATGGTATCCAGTGAAGATAAACAAAGTGAATTAAAATTCAAAAAATGAAAAACTTATCCATTCGCTCATTCATTCATTCCTTCCTTCCTTCCTTCCTTCCTTCACTCATTCATTCATTCATTCATTCATTCATTCCTCCTTTCATTCATTTATTTATTCATTTTAACTATAAAGGAAAAAACAAAATAGAGAAGGGTAAGAAGTGAAATAGAAAATGAAATGTAAATGCGAAAACAAACTGAATTGAAACGTTTCTTCTTCTCCTTGAGATATGAAAAGAAGCAAAAGAAAAGGAATCATTTCCTTTTGAAATGGAAGAATTTTGAAGTAAAATTAACAAAAGCATTGAAAAAGAAAAGCAATAAAAAGGAAAAAAAACTATACGAAATATCATTGCATTTGTTTCTTTTAAAAGTCATTTCCTTAAATTTAACAAATCATTGTTGAAAACATGTGAGAATTTGCATAGAAAGGTAACATTTGTATGAAGGCGCAATTGTATAAATGAATATGAATAGATGATCATTTCAAGAGAATTGATTCATTGTCCAATTGCTTGGTACTTTCTTTAATTTTGAAATTTAAAATGAAATTAAAGTAGATTAAGTACTAGTTATAAGACAAAAATCGATAGTTATTAAATGACGCTGATCTAACTGTTCAGAAATTTTAATCCTACATTGAAAGTCATCAAAACTACGATTAATCAATGTCTTATGACTACAATTGCAGTAATATTATCGTTATCATATGTTGCATATTGCATTGCCATTTATTATTATTATTATTATTATTATTATTATTATTATTATTAGTTGTTATTTATTA